GATGGATGGATCACTCACTGGATAACAAATTGCCTGGATGATGGCAGTCAGAGTGTTGCAATGGATGGGCAATGGATGGTTCAGTGTCCAAGTGGAGGCTGGTTGTGATGAGTGGCGTTCCTCAGTAATTGGTGCTGGGACCAGTGCTATTTAACATCCTTGCAGGCAACATGGACAGTGGGATTGAGTGCACTGTCAACAAGCTTGCAGATGACACCAAGCTGAGTGGTGCAGCTGACACACTAGAGGGAAGGGATGCTATCCAGAGGGATCTGGACAGGCTTGAGAGGTGGGCCCATGCCAATCTCATGAAGTTCCACAGGGCTAAGCACAAGGTCCTGCATCTGGGTTGGAACATTCCCAAGCACAGCTACAGGTTGGGCAGAGAATGGCTTGAGGGAAGCCCTTGAGGAGAAGGACTTGGGAGTGTCAGTTAATGAAAGATTCAGCATGAGCTGGCAATGTGTGCTTGCAGCCAACAAGGCCAACTGTATTCAGGGCTGGATCAAGAGAAGTGTGACCAGCAGGTGATTCTGCCACCCTACTCTGCTCTCATGAGACCCCACCTGGAGTATTGCATCCAGTTCTGGGGTCCCCAGCACAAGAAGGACATGGAGCTGTTGGATGGGGTCCAGAGGAGGGTCGCAAAGGTGATCAGAGGGCTGGAGCACCTCCCCTATGAGGACAGGCTGAGAGCTGGGGCTCTTCAGCCTGGAGAAAAGAAGGCTCCAAGGGGATCTCAGAGTGGCTTTCCAGTACCTGAAGGGAGCCTACAGGAGAGCAGAGGAGGGACTTTTTATAAGGGCAGACTGCAACAGCATGAGGGGAAAAGGCTTTAAACTGGAAGAGGGTAGATTTAGACTAGATATTAGGAAGAAATTCTTTACTCTGAGGGTACAGGGACAGGTTGTCCAGTGCGGTTGTGGATGCCCATACCCTGGAAGCATTGTCTGTATCAGGCTTTGAGCAACCTGGCCTAGTGGAATGCATCCTAGCCCAAAGCGGAGGAACTGGAACTTAAACGTCCCTTACAACTCAAACCATTCTATGATTGTATGATTCTAAACACAGACTTCACATGCAAGTACATAATGGTATTCTGGTGATTGGACATGCCAGTAACATTTGAAAACTACTTACTACCATTCATTTGACACTCTCAAATAACCACTCAAATATGCTGTATGAAATCTAATTGTACTTTTTTGCTGAGTAAGCTTACTTGTTACATGAAAAGATTCTATGTAAAGTGATGTTATTTCTCTTTTGTATGAATCAACTTCATTGCATGACACGGAATGCTTTTCAGGGCTCTAGAAAAAAAAAAAAAAAAAGGGGGAAAGTAAGATTTCCTGTTTATATAAAGAGGCTATATTACTTCTTATCAAACAGAACACTGAACCTTTTAATGCACAGCAGGGAGAAGATTCGGAATTGTAATACATTATGAGTAAAAAAACCAGTATAGATTATACAATTCTGTTCTTCAGTGGAAGTAATTTTATTGTCATAAAATCATACATCATCCTGCCAAGAATAATGTCTTCTTTTTAAGGAACCTGGACTAAGCTTTAAATCCACTGATAGACTTACGTGTTTAAGTAACATCTAATTTCCAATTTCATACTTAAACCCCAGAATAGCTTAAAATTTCCAGACGCCCCACATTTAATTTCAGAGGAATTAAAACTTTCAGTCTTTCAGTTTGTCAGATAAAGCTTCTTATCCATGTTTTAAATTAACACTTCAGACTTCCTACAATACTGTGACTAAACTCCTATCTTATATATGAATCTTTGTCAGAAGCTGCAAACCAGCCCTACAATTCTCAAACTTTTTCTCTGACAGATATGCATATTTTTTTCACTGTATTCTTACTAGAAAGTAAATTTTAATTCCACTCTAAGTGGTATAGTGGTCAGCAGGATTTAATTCATTATGCTGTTTCATGGCATGCACAGTATATCTTAACACGGACAGTATCTTTGGTGAGTGTTAAATATTGTCTTCTGTCCAAGAGTATTCAAATGAACTTCTCCCAGTTCTCAGTGGATGGATAGAACCTATATGAGTGGTAAAGGACACCATTTCTCTGCTGTTGTTGCTGTTATGCTTTACACGGAATATTTAAGCAACTGTTTTACAAATCAAAAATTTAACAAAAGAAAAATGCATACTGTTAGAGGTTTGTAATTAGAGTATTTATGTAAGATGGAAAAACAGGGATGCCTATCCCTCCTACAGAAAATAGTTATTTTCTCTTCGACAGCCATTGCAATCTGTATACTTATATCTTAAAAACAACAGAAAGAGCTAAAAAGAGGAGTTAAAAAAGAATCAATCTCTGAAACAACATACATTCTTAATGATGTTAATCTTGACAAAAAGTGTGCCAGAATTTACAGATCTTACCACAACTCTCTCAACCATGTTTTCTCCAAACACAAAACCAGAATTGCTGCTGCTTAGAACACTTCTGTCTTCTAACAACTGACTTCTGTGGGAACAAAATAAGAATGTGATTTAGAACTATGTAAAGAACACAATTTCTTTGAATAAAACAAACATATTACTTGGTAAAGAATATAAATAAGTTCATATATTTACTCTACCACATCTTATATTATTACAGACAAACCAAAAAATGACCTCCTAAGCAATCAGATAAATACTGCAAAAACATAAAGGTTTCACAGAAGAGTAGTACTGTAGAATCACAGAATCACAGAACAGTTAGAAGGGACCTTTAAAGATTATCCATTTCCAACCCTCCCGTCATTGGCAGGGACATCTTCCACTAGGCCACCATGCTCGAAGCATGGATATTGGATATTAGGAAACAATTCTTCTCTGAAAGAGTGGTCAGGCACTGGAATGGGCTGCCCAGGGAGGTGGTGGAGACATCGTCCCCAGAGGTGCTCAAGAAATGTTTGGATGCGGCACTAAGGAACGAGGCTTAGTGGGGAAATATTGGAGGCAGGTGAATGGTTGGACTGGATGATCTTGGAGGGCTTTTCCAACCTTGGTAATTCTATGATTTTATGATCTGAGTTTGCAACTAAGTTTCTATGTTCACAATGGCAGTGTGCTTGAAATTTCTTCAAGTAGGATGAAGGAATTATTCAGTACAAACTGTTTCCATCTACAAACTATTTCCATCTTGCACTTAGGAAAAAAATATTCCTATTTTTAACCCATATTTGATGTGTTGCTAGACAAAGAAAAAATAAGAAACAAAAATCAGAAAATCAGACTTTTTGCAGCCTTGAAATCTTTCATACATGTTTTTCACCATTAAAGCGGAATCTGAAGTGTGTTTAAGCTAACGACTTTCTTATCCTTTAGTAAAGAAAATTCTCCAGTATATTTCACTGAACTGCAATCAATATCTGTCCTAAGATTTCATCTGATACTTCCAGGTTGCAGCACTAGCAAATCAGTAAGGACAGCATTCCAGAAGAGCTAAAAAACTGAAGCCCCAGCATTGTCTCAAACAAATAATGTGAAATGGATTTTGTGTGTTTCGAGAAATTTAAGAAAAAAGATAGCAGTGCGGGATTTTTCTAGTTGTCCTTAAATTGGAAGTACCAGCCTGAGAGACTTGTTAAAATCTTAATATCCTCACGTTGCTGCAGGGCAAGAACAAAACGTGCCAGGGATGACATTGCCATGGAGATGCAAAACAGAGGCACTGAATTCAGGGAATTACCACGAACAAAGAAGAATAGAAGGAGAAACTTGGAAAAGACCCTGGAGAGATAAAAGCAGATCTAGGTACTCAGCTGATCCTTCTCGATGTCCAAAAAGTTGCCAGTTCTAATGCTGTCCCTGACCCCCTGCAGGTTTTCAAGCAAATCATTGTGAAAACTGAATACATCATCAGAAGCCTGCATTTTCCCAGCATTGTATTTGTCACTTAAGAAATGATTTCCTTTTTTAATAATATTTTCCTTAATTCTTTTAATAATTGTAAGTGTTCATAATTAAAATTAATAACAATCATTTTAATAATTGTAATGTAACCACTGATTTCATAATCAGACTCAAGAAACTCAACAAACTGCTCTAAGCTATAGCCAGTTCAGGAAACTGAACTGTTGGAAATGGAATATGGGCAGCCACAGTAACTATGGAGGACTAAGAAACCATTTTCATTCATCACTCTAAAGAATAGAAAGAACAGCATTACATAGAGAACAAGTGGAAGAAGAGAGACAGAACAGGACATCTGCAGGCAGCAGGAATCGTTGCTATTGAGTCTCCTTCCTTTTTTTTTTTTTTTTTTTTTTTAATGTACACAAATGTCAATACCTTCACCATGATTGATAATTAAAAACAAACTTTGTAATACTGGTTGCTACTCTTTAGCATGCATATGGAATTTAATAGAGTTGTTTGTTTGAATATCTATCAAGTTAACCTGTGAGAAAAGAGCTATGCCAGAAAAAGATTTTAATGAAGTATTTTAAAGAAACAAGCACCTTATACAGATCAGAAGAAAGGCACTC